TAGGGTTTATCATTATTGAAGCAATCCTTACTAGTCTTGTGACTGACCGTGTAGGGTCCACTTTATTTATGAAGAATTAACCTTTTGTAGATGTTAAATAAACACCATTTTCGTTTTACATATCTTGGAAAATTATTGCCAATAGACTGAAAAGTAAGGTTAGAAACTTCCGAGTATAATGGCTTATTTTTTTAAAATGTTTTTTCCCTTTTGTAAATTTTGAGAATATACCTACACAATAGGAACATTTAATAACTGTTATTATTTATCGAATAAAGTGTATGTACTGAGAGGCTGATTTGAAAATCCCCTTTCATCTGAGAAAGACAACTTCCATAGGTTTGCCATTAAATAAATTTCCACTTGCCCACCCTGGATTTGAATCTGTGGCGCTAGACTTGAGAATGCTTAAGTCTATGCTTTAAAATGTTCTGCGATAAATACCTCCCTTTTTATTTTGTAATCTAAAATGTGAAACCTTCTCTTACACTGATTGTTAATCACATTATATACATCAAAATTATCTTTTTATAATTATAAAATAACCTTCCCCCAATTGGCAACACACAATGCCACTTTATGCACAAAAAGTGGATCTTTACAAAAATTTTAGCAATTCAATTTACATCATAATCCTCATCAATGGACACCTGTTGAATTGAATTTATTGATATAAAAACAAAAACTTTAAATTTAAACTGTTGATTTAATAAAATATCATGTATTTAAACCCAGATTGAAGACATTTTAAAATTAAAACCATTTACAAGTTTGTTATTAAAATGTATTTCTCGAATTATAAATTTGTTGTTTATTTCCATTCTTCAGGATTGAAACTTTTGATGGAGAATAAAAATTCCTTTCCGATAAGAGACTATTAGGATTGTTTGTTATAGAGAAGTATCTGCTAGAAGTTTGTCTGTACTTAATTTTGACTGCAATATTTATAACATTATTTTATGTAAGCAATTGATTAATCAATTTCTCTTTATTTTTTTTTCTTATGTTTTATATTTTATATAATATTTATATATTAAAAATATGATAGCCTTTTAATGATTTATTTTTTATTCATACTTAATCAACCAATAAAATAGTCCCTATTTCACTTAACCGAGGCCTATAAGATGAATATCGATAACTTATTAAGTACCTGCTTTTAATTATATCGCGAATCTTAAAAAATATTGTATATTGATTATAAATATTGTATAAAGTAATTTGAGCTCAATTCTATAGATTTTACCCACAGTGTATAAAAAATAGTTTAGTTTATCTGGCAAGAAAATAATATATGAAATAGTGAAGTACAAATGAAAAATAAAAAAAGGAAAAAAATATAGAAATAGAACTTTGTCTACCGTTAGGGCATTCTTTATCTACAAGTTCTTAGAGATCTTGATACTTACTTATGCCAGGACTATTAAATTTCAAAGAGAAGATGGGGGAAAAAATCAATTGTGATAATCAATATAAACAGTAATGAGTTCTATTGTATTATAATTATTGAAAACTATATTTTCAGAGGTTACATTTTAAAAATACAGTTAGTTGTAAAGTAAAAAAAAATTAATATAAAAAGTAGATTTAATATTTACGATAAGCTATATTAAACTTATGTAGATAAAATATGCAATATTGAAGGAAAAAAGATCACATTATCTTTGATATTTGGGGTTCTATAATTTTTTCTATATGGGATGTGAGTTTTAAAAAACAAAAACTGCCATTGAGGGTTTATTATTAAATTTATATATGCCAAAATCACCTGTGACGCAATTCTTATTTCCTCTATATGTTTATTAAATTTAGAATTTTTCAATAACTTACTAATGATTTTAACATTCCAACCATTTACTTTGATGATGGCATTAATAAATAAAGCTGTAGTATTCTCCACTATGAATTTTATTTAATATAATGTTTTGTATATATAATATAAAATCTTAATGATGTATGTACTTTTCATTCTGATAGAAATGGATTAAATAACATATATCTAAACATCTTAACTAAATTAAATTTAAAAAAAATAAGATTGGTGTGAAAATATATAACACTGAAGTAACCTTCCATAATCCAATATTATGACAAATTCTCAAACAATGAGAAATTAACGACTCCCCATGTTAATATAAATATGATGTTGTAATATTCTTAATGATTTATACAAAAATTATTTACTGAATGTACTTAAATAATGTATTTATGTTTAATACATTAATACTATGTTTGTGTTATATTATGTTTGATATTGATACAAAGTACCTTTTCAGATAATACATTGCAATTATTGACCGAATCATAAATGAATTTATAATTATATAAAAGTTTAGTACTGAAGGATAATGAATAATATTAATATCATTAGATAATAATTAAATGAACTATGATGACGTGTTTGGACGAAACACTATTAAATAAAATTTATGATGAAGATTACTATAGCCTTAATATTTTATTAATTAAATAACACTTCATCTTGAATTCTCTTAAATAATTATTATACATGGCATATTTATTGAAGGTTTGTTTAATTTCAGAAATTAAGAAGTTCTGACGATTCTTAAATATTTTTGTTTAAAAATAAATGCAAAATATCATTTATAATTGACGGAACAAAATTTTTATTAGACCCTCTTAGATCTATAGATAGTTCTATATATACATCAGTTATTCCAAATATTTTTTTTCTTTTTTAAATGAATTATGCACCATTACGTAATTATATATTTTACTAAGATTTAGTACTACGTTTATTAATAAATAAATGTTGCAAACGTCCAGTATGCGTGATATAACAAGTCACAAAAATTTCTGGTTTGTCTTTCATCGAAACAGTTGAACTGTTTCGGACAGCCTTTTTACTGTGTCTCATATAATGTTTTTGTTTTTAAACTAGTTGGGATTCGAATAACTTTCAATTTGATATTATTAAATTCAGTATTAATATAAAAAAACAAAACAAAATAAATTTAAAAAATAAAACAATTTTATAAAAATTGGAAATTTCTTAACTTATTTCAATACTAGCTCACAGGATCTTTATAAATAGAGCTATATGTAGGCAAAATATTTATTGGTAGGGAATATGCAGTGCTTTTGAATTTTTTGCGAAATAAACTAAAAAAATATAAGATAAATTTCAATCAACTAATGTATAAAAAATTCATTAAGAAATACGTACATAACCCGTAACACAAAGGGGATATTTTGTAAACAATCAGATAAAGGAATAAGTACTCTAATGTGTGGTTTGAGCTACAAATTAAGCTTTGCCCACCCGCAGGAGAAAAAAAATCTTTATTATATATATATATACATATATATTACAAATCAAAATAACACCAAATCTAAAATCGAATAGATTGTAGACATTTTGATGTGTTTCACATTGATAAATATATATAGCTACGTATATATTTTTTAATACAAAGAATAAATTTTATGTAAGTATTGATCTAATATCTTTTTGAGTATTATTATCTTTCTCAACCCTCTTCTCAGACCTCCGACGACCGGGCGCCACAATTTTACTAACGATGCTAAACAGTTTTCAAACCTCCTTTGGCCTAAATCGATTTATAAGAAACCACTTTTGCAAAAAGATAACTCCTTTGTTCGATACGAGCAAATATTTTACCTTAAGATATTTCCTGTTCTCTTTCAATCTTGTAGAAGTGTTTTGAAATTTTAAAGAAGCTGATTTACCTATTATTAGGCTAATTTAATTTGTTTTTATCTTTTATGACGTTGTTGGTTAATATTTATATTGTTAATCCTGCTAATCTTAATTTTAAAGAGCAGAAATTTTTGTTTAAGCAATATTTCGAACATAGTAAAAAGCAATAATTTTTGTAAAAAAGAAAAAAATATTAACCAACAACTTGAAGAGCTCATTGTTGTATTTATGTTTTATTATAATGGAAACATGTTATAATTATTATAATTTTTTTTAAAAATATATTCTTAATGTTACAATGCTTTAGGGCTTTACTATTTTGATTATATTAAACTTATAAAAACTTGGTACACTGTTATTGTGGCACTTTGCCTATAGATCTATTTTTCAAAGTTAGTTTAAAAAAAAAATGTTATCCTAGTCATTTTTAGACTTTTTTTCTACATTTCCTCTATATTTAAGGTGTACTTAACTCTACCTGAAACTATTTAATCATTAATAGTATTTTCACCTTTCTTTGTAGAGTTGAGATTTTTGTCAGTTCAATTTTTTTAATTATACAATATTTATTAAAGCTGTTTTTTTTTTCTTCTAATTTCCTCTTTTTTTCCTTCATCAGAATAAAGAATATTAAATTGTATAACCATTATTGTTTTTTTATTTATATTTTTAGTAAGATCCTATCCTGTGAATGTTTTAAACAATGAGTTTCTAAACTCAGAGCTGAAATCATCAATGTCATCATAAATCTATCAGACCTATAAATTTATTGATACAAATAAGCGTGTTTCTTTATTTATAAATTGAATCACCTAATGAGATCGATGTATCAAACAAGTTTCTTAACTCATTGCTAATTCTATTGATGAAATCCATCAGTTGATTGATCCATTAATCCAGCAGCAAAGGAACAGCTATTTATGCAGAGTTTAGAAATGACCTAATGGATTCCATCTGAAGGTTAATACACCCGGGAGGTAATAATACACATGAAAAATTAAATTAGTTCATGAATTAAGACTTCATGTCTCAGAAGTGAAATCAAAATTTAATAAAAAGAGATCTTTTCCTGCATATCATTTTTATTCTTCCTTTCTACCGGCTTTTGGTCTTTCATAAGTTAGCCTGATGAAAGAGCGAAACTGTTAGCAAGGAGAGAATAAAAAATTATATACAGATAAGGACATCTCTTTTTATTGAACTGAAAAATAAGTAAAGTAAATTGAGAATTAACATCTCTGAGGTGATAACGAGGTTACTTGCCCCGCTGATACATTGACCCCAAAAACCGATGGAACTGTTGAGCCATCGATGAGCTTAAAAATGATCTGATGAATTTCAGATGCCATCGAAGAACTCAACACTGGATTTATAAACTTGCCCTAACCTACAGGATTCAAGCAAAAGGTTGAATTATAAATTATTAGCTTTATAGTGGAGGAAAAAAATACAATGGTATTATGAATATAATATATTTTCTGAAACATATTTTATATACAAAGATACATGTATCCTCACCCCTTCCAAACTGTAACTTAAAAAGAAAACAACATTGAGCATATAATTTCAATAAATATTTCACATTCTCTCAATAAATACACTCATGCTTGACATTCGTTAAACAAATGCAAGTTAAACAGTTGTTCAGTTTTTACAATTACAAATTACAAGCTCACTCACATTTATACATTTGACTAATAAATTACATTTACTGACTTTACGTACAAATATATCCATTTATCAGTCCTATATCATCGACTTCATGGTATTTTCATTATAAACAGTACAACTTAATTGTTATAAGAGTTTCGTTTGTGAATAAGTTATTTATTTTATTGTACAAACTATACATACATTGTATTGTACATATTATGTACAATATGTCCCGAACCCGACACCAAAATGTACAATTTGAACATAATGTCTTCTATCTCAACTAAGAAATGGTAATTTAAATAAAAAAATTATAAAATACACTTTTTTACTATTTCCATTAATGAATAAATAAAATTAGATTAAAGTAAACCTTTTTAAAAAATAATAATAATTTTGAATTTTTAGGTAAATATCATCTAGCAGTAATCTATTATTAGTTCTAATAATTGTGTTTTGTTTCAGTATAATCCATTAATGTTCAAAACAATTATTTAAAACATTAAAAAAATCCTAGGAATCATTCCCAATTCATATTTATTTTTTTAAATTTTCTGAGAACTCTTTTTATATCTATTTGATTTTATTTTGATTACAAGACTTCCTTAAAATTTTTATTAATAAAAAACAATTATCATTACTTTTATTTAATGTTTCAAGGAATTTTCTCCATCTCCAGAAATTATTATATTAACAGCAACAGACGTCTTTTGCCAAAATTACAAATTCCATCTTTAGTTACATTATTAATACACAAAATATTTAAAGAGTTTTTGATTTTTTTGCTGCAGGTTTATATGTTAACTGCAATGACAATAATTGGTTTTGACTAATAAAGTGAAGATTTAAGGGAGTCTAGTGTCAAATATTAAAGCAATTCTTATTTTTTAGAATTTGTCTAACATTTGATTAAATTCAAAATACTTGCAATAATGTTAGAATAAATAAATAAATAAAACATAATCAATTATCTAATATTAAATTATATGAAACTAAATATCTTTACACTATCATTTCTTCTTATTCAGAATGTAAAAAAAAATATAATTGTATTTACAGATTGCTCTTGTATTGTCAAAGAGGTTTTATTTACATAAAAGATTACTCAACTGGCCGATGGAACAATAACATATTTTGTATAATCTGTTAGATTTGTAGAATGTATTTCATGGTGTGTAGTTTCCTTATTATTGAATATAAATGCTAGGGCTATCCCTAGACCAAATATTAGAACGCAAAGTACAACCACAAAACATACTATTCTATTGAGGTTCAGCGGTGAAGAGACTGCAAGTAGAGATGAATCTGTGGAGGAGGCATAGCTCCATCTAAAAAATAAAGTAATAAAGTTATACATTATTGTTCTAATCTAATTCCAGAAGGAAACTATCTATTTAAAAAATACACTAATTATATATTTAATATAAAAGAAAGACTATATAGTAAAGAACTCTATTGTGATATACTATATTGATTTATTGTTACTATTAGATATCCTTTCCAAAGGTATCTTGTTAATAATTGTCTTATTAAAAAATTTAAATATACCAAATATAATTTAACTTACTGCCTATGCATAATTTTATTCATAAATATATTTGATCAACTGTTAAAAATGTTCATGAAAATAAAATATGCAATTATATACTCATAATGTAGGAATTTCCAAGGTACCCCAGTGTTAGCAAGAATTTCAAGATGGTCATGGCGAATGGCGCATCTCCCCCTCTCCAAAAATTTTATTTCTTGTTCTTAAAAACACTGCAAGCGATCAGACAAATCTTGGATCATTCACAATTTCACTTACTGTGATCTATCCCATGTTTTTGTCCTAGTTCACTGTTTTGAAACTTTTCACTCCGAAAATTCATAGCCCCATCGAAATGTGGCCCCCTCAAATATTCAAAACCCAGTAAAATGTGCTCCCCTCAAAAATTTTGATTTTTGATAGCAACTTGCAGCATGAAATCACCTTCTGGACACCCCTGCCAGTACTAGTACCAGTCCCATTAAAATTGTTGCAAAACAACCTAACTGTTTTGTAGGACACTTCTGAGATTTCAATTGGCATCCTTGTCCTAAGAATTTTATGAGGAGTTTCAGTAACTCTACTCTTTTTATAATTGTGGTTGACTTTAGTGAATTATTGAAGAGAACATTGGTTGGGGTTTTTGGAAAAAAAAAAATAGATAAATTATATTTATTTTTGCCGACATTTAGATCCAAAGTTCAGACTTTCATCAGGGCTGGTCAGACGTAAGATTCTGGTTGTCTAGCGGGAATCTTTCAACTGACCAGCCCTAATGAAGGTCTGAACTTAGGGCCAAAAATAAAAATAAATATAATTTTTTTTTACTGAACACCCCACAGGCGGATATATGGGGGGAGGAGGAGGGACTTTCGGGCTTAAGCCCCTCCCAAAATGGTAAAATATAAACATATTTTGCTGAAAAAAATATTAAAAACTATTCCTTAAAATATTCTTGTCCATGTAATTACGTTTAATAGTACTTCAAGAACCACTTAAACACCATTTCATATAGGTAGTTAATTTCTTTTTTTTATTTTTAATTAATTATTGTTATATGCATATGAAACATTTTTTTTCGGTCTGAAGCCCCCCAAAATTTAATCCTGGATTCGCCAGTGAAACACCCTAAACAATCTTCTCTTCAATCTACTTTTTTTACCACTGCAAATATTATCTTTTATTTAACAATTATATAATTAATTAGGTAAGTTATTTTTGATCTTCCTCAAAAAAACAAGTTGTGGCTAAATCCATACATTCTAAAAATCTTTCCTTCATGTCTCAATCTTGTCACTGGCATTCTATTCTATAATTATTTTTCTCTTAAGCTCCTCTTTCGATAATTACTTTGTTATTATAAAGAGATTTTTTCAGTAATTAATAAATAATAATGGGACAAATAATAAGGGATGAAAACCCTCCTTAATTAAAACTTAAAAATTAAGATCAACTTCCTATCGCAGCAGTTGCAGGGACTAAGTCACCTTTGCCCATTTAAGTATTGACTCCACTGGACTCAAACACTAACACTTTATTAGAAAACTGCTGCTCCCACTTAACAGTATTGTCTTTCTATTCTTTCTGTTAAACATATTTTTGAGGAATGCCCTCACTATATCCTGATAATCCTTGAAATAAGACTGAAACTGAATTCATCGATGTCTCTTAATGACAACAAAGCTTCAGTCACATTAGATTTTAAATTTATAAAAGAAAATCGCCCCTTGTTAAAATTATAACACTTCCCCCAAAACATTTCTAAATCCCTATTATTTATCTTTATGCACAGATGGATCTACAGGGGGGCTTTTGGGCTGAAGCCTCCCCCAAAATGGTAAAATGTAACCATGCTTTATGGTAAAAAATGTTAAGAAATTATGTATTAATATTCATTTAATTACATTTAATAGGACTTCAAAAATCACTTAAACACCATTTCATATAGGTAGTTAGTATATTTCCTGTTTTTTGAAAGTAATTATCTGTAACACTAACCTGGGCTTCCAAGTTGCCTCTGGTCTAGGCGGTTGGGGCGCCATTATTCTGTCAGAAGTGGGCACGTCGGGAACAGAGCCAAGCAATCCTTTCCTTCTTGGCCAGACCTCGCCGCTTCGACGTACCTGAAGAACCTTATCACTGCCGGATTCGAGAAGACTGGCTTCTGCAGTTCAGAAGGATCCCTGGAAAACAGTTCAATTAGTCAATGCGTTTTTATCAAAACTATATTAAACAAGTAGTGGTGTATTGCACATCTGATATTTCACTTATTATAATAGGATTTTCGAATAATATGACTTTTATTTAGATAAATATATAAAATCTACAGCTACTTATTTAATAGCGGGTATCATCCGAATGCTATCTGCCAATGTTTATAACCTTAACACTGATAAGCTGTTCGTATTCATATTAATTGTATTATATTCATATTATTATATTTTCATATTCATATTTATTGTATTGTATTGTATTGTATTGATCAATTATGAAGGATATTATTGAAATTGTGAACAAAAACAAATATAATAATAATAAAATACTTTTACTTTACAACATATATATATATATATATATATATATATATATATATATATATATATATATATATATATATAATTAATGTATATATATATATATATATATATATATATATATATATATATATATATATATATATATATATATATATATATATATATATAATTAATGTTTTTTAATTATATAAAAAAATATATATATAAATAATAAATAAATTTTTAATTATATATAAATATATATATATATATATATATATATATATATATATATATATATATATATATATATATATATATATATATATATATATATATATATATATATATATATATATAATTAAAAAACAGTGTTTTTAATGGCTTCTAATAAAGTTGTTGCTTTTCTATCGCTTATTTTGACGGTAAAGAACTCTTCTATTTCTCGGCAAACTCCGCCAAACATCCATTGCTGGAATAGGACTCTCCCTACATGATTTTTTCTTTTCGAAAAAAGACTCTCGTCTACTTCGACGACTTTGCCAGACCCCTCAAATTTCTTTATTCGACCTGTATAACATGTCATGGGCACAAACTTCTCTTAAAAAATTTGTTCCATGTCACGATAGTTGCGTTGGATAGTTTGAACTGCTCGTTACCCCACGGTATTGTTTTTAAATTATGGGATCCATAAATGAATTTTAAAGCCGTTAAAAAAGAAATAATCGACCTCTCTAATCACGTTCCTTTCCTTATAGAAACGGTTCCTTCATCACAATATTTTACCTTTGCAAATATCCCGGCGTCTTGAAAATATTTTATATCATCTTCTGAAGACTGCAATTCGCACAATGTGACAACATCCATAATTAAATAACACTAACTCACAGCGAATACAAGAAACAAAAAATAAACAAGGGAATAACTTAAGTTAGATGAGATAAGGGAGGTTATGTGAAATGAGATTAGATAAGAAGGGAAGTTATGACGCTACCCGCTATTAAATAAGTGCCAATCTATGAATTAAAAGTTCTTTAAGATTGGGTTAAACATGCATGAGCCGTACCTTGGCTAAGTTTTGTTGCGGAAATAGTTCTCACTTCTCCGTACTGTATGGATACACCTATAGTCCATGGGTACAGAACCCTTTTTAACAAATTATTAACATAAACTTCGTAAATAGCTTCGTCTCATCGTAATCTACAAGTATTTCATTTATGAAAATTCTCGTTATTGGGACGTTTTCAATCTGGAGATCGGCAAACTTTGTCTATATAATTAGGTACTAAAAAACTCACAAAGACCTATTTGCTTTCCACTTGAATCGTAAGATAAAATGACCACAAAATCGAAATAACATATTTAGACATTCTTATTTTCCATAGTTTGTGACAAGTCTGAATGCACCTTTATACAAATTTTTTTTATTTTTAAAATTAGTTCCAACTGCTTTTAATTGAAAAATTACATGGACATTTGAAATGTATCGGCGATTGGTGAAACTGCAAAGGCAAATTGCAAACTGCAATCTATTTTAGTGTAATAGATGTAACTCACAAACATAAGAAAATAGGCTACTAACCGTTTTAGAAGGGAATAAGGAAGACGCTTGGTAAAATTTCTATCCAAGGACTTACGCGAAAGCCCCTCCGTTCAAGAGTTAACGAATCGGAGGCAGTGAAGACTTTATAAGTAATATTTTTATTCATGTCTGTTACAAATGATATCTTAAAATACAGTGTAATACACTATGGATATATGAGTATACTACTATATAGACTACACGAGTTCACTCCAGCTCTCCTAAAATTAAAAGTGTGACTTCAAGAGAGTAACTGCATGAGTGATTAGTCTAGAGGAGCATGGGGTTTATATACCCAAGAATAGCAAAGGAGTGAAGGGAATTCGGAAGAGGACGGCAAAGGAAGTTATCAATAGTTAATATTCTTTAGATGAGGTCTGTGAGAAAGTGCCCTTTTGCTGAAATCTGTTATTGTTCCCTAAGTCTTGATAATGGGTCTTGTTTCCATTCGGTACATTCTAGATAACTATTTCTAAGCTATCAGAGAGAGCTAGACCTGGCTATCTAGGGGTAGCTTTGTGCTTTGAATTATGAGAACTGTCAATACAATACATGATTCACCAATTGACATATTAATCAAAATAAAAGTTAAATTAATATTATTGTTATTATTATGAAATGAAATGAAAAATGAAAAAAAAATTTTATTCTGGGACTACTGTCCCCTAAGAATTATTTATTATTTGTTACGGATTAAGTTCATTCCGTAACAACGTAACAGAGATAAAGCATGCGCGAGTAACAGAATACTAACCAGCATAGCTTCCATCTTTCAGACCGATGTAGATTTCAAAGTTATCTGTTTCTTAGAATTATTTAACACTTATAAATTTAGTAAGTTAAATTAGTTTTATTCTACAATTAGTTTAAACATAGATAGAAGTGTGAACTTTCTGTGTTGAAACTTAAATAGCAGTAAATAAGCATTTAATTGAAGTAAGAGGTAGTTAACAAAAAGTTTACTTCTAATAGAAAAATTTCTTAAATATAATTTTCATACACAATTTCAAGAGTTAGAATTACAAATAAACAAAAAAAGTTCTAAATGAAATAATTGGTAAAGAATTTTGAAATAATTAAACATCTTAAATAATTACTTTTTATATAATTAAAATAGATGAAGTAGAATATAATATTAGAGTTACTGTTAATATAACATTAATAAAATGTTAAACCTTACAAAAAATGACGCCCGAACAGGGACTTGAACTCTGGACCCTTAGGTTAAAAGCCTAATGCTCTACCGACTGAGCTATCCGGGCTTCGCGCTTAGTTGTAAGGGACTTATTTTATATATTTATATATAACCTTTTGTAAATAACTTATTCTATATACTAAGATTTATATATTTTGTCTATACTTGCATATCGCACAAAATTCCAGCAGTTATTAGGTGTTTTCAATTTTTCCTCAATGAACAAACTTTTTTTTTTCAATTCTATCAGAATAGTGAGTTTCTCTGAGATGGCTTGGAAACACAATCACAATATTGAGTACTTAAGCTTATGGATTTTTTTAAATTAATATTATTTTTTTTCCATTTCCACTGTATTTTTATAATTTTCTCAAAAACGGCTCAAACGATTTTGATTAAACTCGGTATATCAATGTATAATGATATAATCTTTAATACCAATTAGGTCTTATCCTCATTGATGTCACTTTACAGGGCTTAAATGCCCAATGTTCATATACGACTTCCTCTAAAGTACCTTAAATATGATTAACATTAAAAAGTTAATCATTTCACATTATTCAGAATTACAAAAATATGCTAAATATAACTTTTGAAAGAATTTAATAAGTTAATAAAGGAGAAAAAAATAAAAATGCAGAAAAACCTGCGTTGCTATAGACTGGAGCGCCTAAACGAATGTACCGATTTCAATGAAATTTCGCTAAAGTCATTTTCTCGACACCCTTTAAATTCATCTATACCACATACTTCAACGAAAATAGTCTGGAAAAAAAGTTAGGAGGGATGGTAAAATTAAATTCCGAATAGCCCAAAAAGTATACACTTTATTGTCGATATTGTGATAAGATGTTTCAAAGGTATTTAAATTTCCTAAAGAATGAAAGAAATTACATCGAAATCGAAGCACTATTAGTAGAGATATCGCGATTTTAAAATATTTTTACTTTCACTTACGTATATATGTAATATATAGCACGGGTGGATCTACGGGGTGGGGAGGGGGGCTTTCGGGCTGAAGCCCCCCCCTCCCAAAATGGTAGAATATAACCATGTTTTATCGAAAAGTATCTTAAAGAAGTATCTCTTAAAGTATTATTGTTCGTGTGATTAATATTAAAAGGGCTTTAGGAATTACTTAAACACCATTTCATATAGGTAGTTGTTAGTTTCTTTCTTTTTTTCCAAAGTAATTATTGTTATTTTTATGAAAAAAAAGCTTTCCTGCTGAAGCCCCCCTCCCCCCCCAAAAATTAAATCCTGGATCCGCTAGTGATATATAGTCATTGTAAGTATTGCGATCGAGAAAATTTTTGAATCTGAGTTTTCAACGGAAATACACGTTTTGAGGTACCCTGCGTCGAAATGACCAAGTCCCGGAAAATGGTCTGTGTGTCTTTGTGTTTGTATGTTAGCAGTCTAGCTGAAAAACGAAAAGTCCTACGAAACTGATATTACGTATTTAAGATAGGTATATGCCTTAGATGTTTATAACCCTTTATCTGTTAAAAACATTCTAAGGTGTATTTTAAATGTATGTATTTTTGAGAGTAGTATGTCAATATGATATATAGAATGCCTCAGTTCTTAATTACCAAACCCTGGGGGATTATTCTAGACAAAGTTTCCCAACAAAAAAGTAAATTCAATACGGAAAAAGAGTTGAGACCAATTTTTCTTAAGATATTGACCTTTTTTTATTAAATAAGAAGGAATTGTTCAAACAATGTTCAAAATAATTAAATTCAAAGTACACCATCGTAAAGTAGACAAGATTTATTCGAGAAAACCTTGGTTAAATTAATGATAAAATCAACTAAGATCATTGATATTTTAAAAATGTTTATGATATCGATGAAAATATCCACAATCGATATTTCAAGTCCGATATTTTAATGGTATCGATAGTTATTAATATCCATGTTGGGTCTTCGATATCCCTAATCAGTTTACTGCTCCAGCTCCACAGGAGACTCGTCACGTTCCAAATAATACTCGTTACAATAAAATAACCTAATATTACATAGCTCTTTCGGTACCATATTTTATATTAATAAAAATAACCCTTTCGGCCCCCTCTCTTTCCCCTCCTTCTCTTCTAGATATGCCACAGTTAAATAACAGATAAATCTTCAAAATGAGGAACAGAAAATTTCATTGTTATTTTGTTTGTTTGTTGATTTGGTTTATCGTGTTTATTCGTACTCCAACTAGGGCCGGAAAAAAAAGCCCTTATCTATCTTCCATGTTATCAAGCTTTCTAGCCATTGAGTGATTACACACATCTCTATTGTATCATCTTGGGTGCCAGAGTACCCAGTTCGATTATCACTTGAGTCGGTTAATATTTATTGCTCGGTGGCTCCGGGAATTAAATCTTGACATTCCCAGTCTGGTAAATCAATGTAGAAGTTAGAAAAAATACCACAAAGCTCACGTGTTGAATTAGTTCTCCCCATCAGTAGCTATAGCAGTTCTAGTTTATGTAATATTATGTCAATTAATATTTACTTATTAATTAATATTTACAGTATTGGAGTGGGGAGATCAGAGGTATGGCACTGACTATATGCTCAAGATCCTACATATTGTAAGCGAGGAAAATGTTTAGTATTTTAATTAATTAATAATAAGCTATTATTCAAAATTGTATCTTAACACGACGCCGTATTAGGGAGGCAAAAATTAAAAAATAGTGTCGAAAACCAAATGGAAACGAGTTTGATTGAAGATATGGATTAAGATTTCTCAGAAACTAAAAATCGGATCTGTATACCTTAAGCGAGGAAATTGTACATCATTTCACCCTCTCTCTAATGGGCTATTATTCAAAATTGTATCTTAACACGACGACGTATTAGTGAGGCGAAAAGGAAAATATAGTGTTGTAAACCAAATGATAACGAGTTTTATGGAAGATATGGATTAAATTTTTTTGTAAACTAAAAATCGGACTTTTTTTTTATTCTTTCCTACCTCGCCTTTTAGGCTATACGGGATTTTCCCGGGCCGGGGGGTGAGGGCGGGGAATTTAAAATCCCCTCCGGCACCGGGACGCGAACTCGTACTTTTTATATCATCTCAAATCTCTGTTATCCGGTTGCCAGGCAACTAGCGGTGCTGTTACACACGCTTTAAGCCTATTCGGCCACCACGCCCCACGGACAAACTGTAAGCGTTTAGCATGCTGTTTAGCATTTCATCCTCTTTATAATGAGCTATTATTTATATTTTATATTTCGTATTATTAATCTTCCCTTGTTAATGTTTTCAGTTCTATCGTGTGGTCTAAAGCACACACCTTAGTTTTTCATTTTTACATGATTATATCAAGTATGTATTAAACCCAATCATTCCAATTTTTTTCAAAATTATTAAGCACCATTATCCTCTCTACACCCTTTGAATCATCTTGGATTCCGAGCGAATTCCGGTTTCGCAACTTTGGTGAAACTCGACAGATCACTTTTATAATAATAACTAAAATTATAACTGCTTCCGATTGCCTTTTTAAGATGGACAGGAAGTAGGTTGATGATTTAGCCAGCACTGATCCACTGAACTCGATCTAGTTCTTAAAATGACTCCGGATCGAGATCAGAACATTAGGCGCCATCTTATGGTCGCTTTATCGTGATTTTGTGGTTTACCACAATTGGTCGCCAGTTGTCCCCTCAGCTCCCCGAATAACGATTACGATATAGTTTAGTCGAATATTTTACGGATCTTTGGTCACACATAATTATCAAAATTCTAATAATGTTGAAATGCCGATTATTCGTTTTCAAATCATTGAATGGACATCTTGAATAAAAATTAAACAGAATAAAGTGAATGGGTTTCCAAGAGATGTTTAACCGCGTGATGAGATCTTCCTGACATAAATTACTTGCGACATCACAGAATGCCTGAAGGGGATAACCCAACCTCATGTTACTACTGACCATGGTTTCCATTCTACAGCGGAAGATAGCCAATAAATCCATAGCCGATCCCTTTGGGACCAATCTGGTGTGCTTCCGAAACGTCTCGATCAAGTTCATAGACAGTGATAAATCGGTTTAGAGTTATGGATTATGCATGCTCAGAGTCAGCAGTAATTAATTCTGGTTATTTTTTGTGAAAACACGGGTGCAGGATGTAAAATCGCATTATTTTTTTACACAACTTGAGATGAATCATACATTTTTCTTAATAAACCTCAATTTACTTAATTAATATGGACTTAGAGGTTATTAAACGAGGGAGTTTTTCTAAAAGTTTTTTTTTTCTTATAGCAAAGTCGATGGTCACTTGGCCATCCGACATCTTGCTGCCCTGTATAATACTTTGGTTTCAATCTTTCCTCTCTCAACGTATCCAAGCAGTCTCTGTTCCTAACCAACCTTTATCTTCCTATCTAACCCTGTCCTCAGGAGTGACACAGGGCTCTAGCATATCTCCTCTCCTTTTTAGTTCATATATTGTTTGTTTGTTTGTTTCGATGTCTAGGCGCAAAACATCCAGGTCATAAGCGCCCGATCAACTAAATAACATCATTTAATACTAAGTGATTTAGTTCATATATTAACGATCTTTATAAATCAATCCTTCACTGTTCCCATCACCTTTATGCCGATGATTACCAAATTTACCTTTCCTTTGCTCCCTCAGAGTGGCATGACGCGTTTGCCAAAATACAAGAAGACCTAAATCGCATCTGTGCCTGGGCAAATGAAAATAGATTAAGATTAAACGCTGTTAAAACTCAAGCCATTGTCATTCTTTCCAAACCCCTTCTCAGATCCAATACCAACATTCCTCTCCTCTACCTAAATGACCAACCTTCAACTCTTCAGTTAAAAACCTAGGTATTTTCATAGATCAAACCCTCTCCTGGAATCACCATATTTCCCAAATATCCCGACGCTAAATTTCCACCCTGAAACTCTTCCATCGCTTCCGCCATCTCCTGCCCATGGAATGTTAATTTTTATGTACAAAATTGTTATTCTTAAGGGACTTTGTCCCAGAATAAAGTTGATTCTTCTATTCTATATATATTTAAAAATATTTTTTCGAACATGTGTCTAGATGGTCTGCATCCATTGTTCCTTGATGACACAATCTTCAGCGACGCCTATCTTGTAGAGAAGACTCTGCAGATAGTCGTGACCAGTGGCCAGGTGGAAGCAGGCTACTGCATCTCTTCTTGGTAGATCAGGTGGAAACAGAAGTTAGTTTTTTTATTTATTATTTTAATGGAATTTACAACTTTATTACTTAGAAAATACAATAAATAAATCTGAAATTGGTAACATGACATGTACAACATGAAGAGAAACTACCCATTGGTAGAACTCAAATTAAAGTTCTATATTAGAAGATCCCGAGGCCATCTTCTTTTCAGACGCCTCGGAGAGTTATCAGGGATCGAGGAGGAAGCAAGGCTTGAAACGAGAGGATTCGGATTGTTCTGCAGTTTGTTATGGAAGGAGAGGTATCTGGATTGGGCCAAATCGGAAACGTATGGAACATTAAGGTCATTATGGATGATTTTATTTATGACAAAGTAAGGAGCGTTGAGGATTTTACGAAGGATTTCGGATTGTAAGGATTGGATACAAGAGGAATTCGATGGTTTAGTGGAGCCCCAAAGCTCAATTCCGTAAGTCCAAATAGGTCTTATTATTGTCATATATACGAGTCGTTTATAATTGATTGAAAGCTTAGATCGTTTGTCTAGTAAGTGCTGCAGTAGTCGAAAACGTCGGGCGGTTTCTAGTCGTTTCAGTCTGGTATTTGAAGTAAATTTTGTATATTTTACAGTGAAGCAATTGTCATTCACATAAATTAAAATAATTTTTTTTAGTTATCGCTATGTATTCGACAAAAAACGCGGATGCTTAAAATAACATAAATTCAAAGTTCCTACTTTCCTGCCAAAAATCGGACTAATGTTTATATAAACGTTTATCTAGCTCTTGGTGCTTGCTATCACTCCTATAAATATTTCTCTCTACTTAGGGGACATCTTGAATAATAATGTAAATAAAATACATTGTTGTATATCTATCTGGATAATAATGGATGTATTGAATACTGACCTGGATATCTCGGCAGATACTAGATTGCTGTGCGGGCTGAACCTGGCGGGGGCTTTGTACATGCTACAGACCAAGCGCTCCTTGCACGGCTCGTCCGTGAACCCCAGCTCGGCGAACACCCGGTCCAGCCTCTTGAGGATCGGGTTGTAGAAGGTGTCCTCGTTGTAAGCGGCGGCGACTATAGGTGGCGCTGGGGCGGCGATCGGGGGGCCAGCGGGTGCAGCCGGGGCTACTGGGGCGAGAGGAACCGCTGGGATTGGCTGCAACAAAAGAGGAAAGAATCATTTAATGTATGTGTTTATAAATACATCGATATATATATCGCAGTAGGCCCATTTTGTAATTTAGATAGATAGAAAATAACTTTATTCTGGGACAAAGTCTGTTTGGAATAAAAAAAATAGTACAAAGTTAAAAGATTACATCTGGCCTAACTAAAAATAATATCGAATATTTAATAGTGACCGTTGCATTACAAAGGAAGGAGATGGTCCGGGGTGGCGGTCATAAATAGGCTAAATTGTGGCAAAACTATTTTATTAAAAGACAACGTTTCGACCCGACTTTGCAGGTCTTCATCAGGGAAGTGTGTTCAGCTAGAACTGACAGAGTTCTAAGTGAAACTCCTTCCTGAACACACCTCCCTGATGAAGACCTGCAAAGTCGGGTCGAAACGTTGGCTTTAAATAAAATAGTTTTACCACTATTTAGCCTATTTATGACCTTCACCCCGGACCATCTCCTTCATTTAAAAACAATATCGAAAATGGAAAAAAAAAGTAAACATTTGTTAAAATACTATATACAAAACAAATAAACCTATATACAAAACACCTAAATTATGTACAGTGAAAAAACATTGTAAATTAACACTTTAAAAAAATAAATAAAAAATACATTAAGCTCTTCTTTAAAATAAGTACAGTGTTTCTGCTAAGAAAACAGAAAGCCGAATCTGACAGTATAAAATGCTTGAGTATTTAAATGATGAATAATATCTGAATATATCATGATCATTTCTTGACATAACTACAGATACAAATTTAATTGCATAAAATATAATATTAAAAAACTACATCACCAATCTGTTCACTCCATGCTTCTCTGTCCACTCTTTTAATACTATTTCCAATTCCAGAAACTTATACGTTCCTTCTCATAGAACTACAGTCTTAAAACAAATCGTTCATCGTGCTGCTTCGGTTTGGAATTCCTTACCGAGCTCCATTTATATATATATATATATATATATATATATATATACGCACAGTTAGGGATATATATATATATATACATATATATATATATATATATATGTATATATATATATATATATATATATATCGTTTTTTTCGGGGTTAAGTGGTCAAACTGCAAAAAATGAACTACGGGCCTCAAAACAAGAAAAGAATTTCCTCTGAAGGTATGTCCGCTAACGCTTTGTTTAGGAGATATTCACACCTAAAGATTATCGTTATTATGAATTATTTACGTCATATGAAATAAATAAAACCTATTTATTTGTTCTAATTACTTTATTAATTAAATGTAAACATTATCATTCATATTAAATGTTGTTCAAAGTGATGTTATGTCCGCAAAAGCTTTGTTTAGGAGATGGATTAGATATAATACTAATATGGCCTTTTATCCTTAACTGTATAAAAACTATTGGCAACATAAGGATTAACACTATTTGGAATTAGCATTGGCAACTCTCAATAACATTTATCAGTTTGTAAGAGGCTTTCGCAGGGTACTCATCATTATGCCTTACATTTATACTAATGGTGAATATGCCGATATGGTTTTTGCAATGGTCAATTATCAAACCAGTCTATGTTTAGCTCCACGTTTCAACGTCTTAGAAAAACTGGTACATTTGATATAATACCATGTGCTGATGATATTTTTGCCCCTTCATTTTGTCAACAACAGCTCAAATCACTTTGAACAATGATTAATATGAATTTAATGTTTACGTTTAATTAATAAAGTAGTTGTAACAAATAAATAAAATTTATTTACTTAATATAACGTAAATAATTCACAACAATGAAAATCTTTAGGTGTGAATATCTTCTAAACAAAGCGTTTGCAGACATACCTTCAGAGGATTTTTTTTTTTTTTTTTTTGAGGTCCTTAATTCATATTTTCAGCTTGGTCACTTGACCCAGCTATATATATATATATATATATATATATATATATATATATATATATATATATATATATATATATATATATATATATATATATATATATATAGAAATAGAATAGAAATAGAAAATAAAACTTTATTCTGGGACGATGTCCCCTTAGAATAACAATAATGAACAGTTACAAAAATAAAAATATAAAAATACATATCTGGCCAAAAACTAATCTAATAAAGATCCAAACAATATATACAACAACTTAAACAATAGTATGTAAAAATTAAAAATAAAATAAAATCTTCTCAACTATATTTATAATAGAAACAAAAAGAAAAGGAAAAAAAAAAGCATAACATGTATAGAAAGAAAAAACAAAATCAACAAAAAAGATAAAATATTAAAAGTACGTAAATAAAAAGTATTGACTTGTTATGTTAAAATCCAAACAGCTAAAACATAAAAAATATATACGTAGATTAAAGACATTAATGACAGGATGAGCAACGGAATCACGATATTGCATTATCCCGGCACACGAGATATAAAATAACAATAAATAGGTAAATACAATTGGGAAGGGGAACTAAATTATAATTTTATATATATATATATATATATATATATATATATATATATATATATATATATATATATATATATAAGGTGAACATGACAATAATAATGAATTTTATTATATTGTAGACGCTTGCAATTCGCATAAGTGAAAATGACAGGTACATGATGGGTATTTTAGGTACATAATAAGTATCTTTATAATTTGAAATATGTTAAAATTTAATATATGATTGTAAATGAAAAAATTTTTTTAGACTTGAAAATGGCTCGACGAGCCGAAACGTCGTCATTTTGATGAGTAGTCATTAAGTGACAAAATTTTTTTTTAAATTGGTGTAAATATGGCTAATAATAAATTAACTTGAAAATAATAGTATGCACCGAAGAAGAATTGAGTAATATTGTGTATATATATATATTACTACTATACAAATAAAATGCAACCTATTAAACAAACATTTTGACTTTCAAGGACATTATTACATGCGTAAATCGTATAAAAAATAATAATAAATAGTGAAATTATAAAATGTTGCGTAATGTAATGATCTGTTAATGTGTTTTGACAATGAGATTAAATTGTTCAATTCCAATCAGTTTCCAATTCCACTTCCCACCAGAGTGCTCTGTAAACAGCCTTATCTCCTGTCAGATTATTAATGCAACAGTACGGTATTTACGAAATTAATACATCTCCATATTTAGTTATAATTAGGTTTCTGGGGAGCGTTTAAATTTTATCCTGCAATCATCAGTTAACAAACATACTAAAAAAAAATTAACAAAAAGAAAAACTAACCAGTGTGCTTTAGACCACACGAAAGAAGTGAAAAGTCGCTCATTATAAAGTTGATGAAATGCTGAACATTTCCATCTCTTACAATATGCAGGTCCGATTTTTAGTTTTTGAGATATTTTAACCTATATTCAAAAAACACTTCAATTAATCGACTCCAGTCGACTTTACCCAAGTGTTACACTTTGAAGATCTGACGGGTAAATCTAATTCATTATTCACAAAAAAGAGTATAACGCGCCTCAAGAATTTTTCACTTCAAAAATCTCAAGTGCAATGCGTTCATCACAATACTTTTACTTGCAACCCTCCTTTCAATAAAAATGGATAATACCTGGAGTATTTTAGATGGTACATATTTCTTTTAAAATAATTAAATGACGATGACACGTGTATCCTATCAGTGAATAACGATTCATCTATTGCATCACAAACTCTTCAATCACACATCACAAGTCTTGAAAAATGTTGTCAAAACTGGAGGATTAAAATAAATTCCAATAAATCCCATCAAATTACCATCACTCTTCGTCGTGAACCTATGACTTCCTGTCCTATAGTATCCTTCAACAATAGCCCTGTTGAACAAATCCGATACCTAGGATTCCACCTCGAAAAACGACTCACTTGGAAACCCCATGCCAGACTGAAACGACTAGAAACCGCCCGACGTTTCCGACTACTCCAGCACTTACTAGACAAACGTTCTAAACTTCCAACTATTTACAAAAGACTCATATATATTACTATAATAAGGCCTATTTGGACTTACGGGATCGAGCTTTGGGGCTCTACTAAACCATCGAATTCCTCTCATATCCAATTCCTACAATCCAAAATCCTTCGTAAAATTATTAATGCTTCCTACTTTGTCACGAATAAAATCATCCATAATGACCTTAATGTACCATATGTTTCCGATTTTGCTCAATTTGTATTTATCATTTAATACAGTTGAAAATTTAATAATAATTAAAAATAATAATAATAATTAAGTGGGCTCATAACAAAGACGGGCGCCAATTTTTAAGAAGTTGAGAAAAAGCCAATTTTCTGGAACATATTTTCTGCAACTTCAATTTAAACCAGTTCTAATGTTTGTTTTTGTTTTCACGATTGAACGTCAACAATTTAAAATAAAATCATTAGAAAGAGTTCCAGTTGAATCTATAAAACAAAAAATGAATTTTTCCCCACTTTCTAAAATTACAGACGTCCATCTTTGATATGAAGATGACTCATATATTAAAGTTTTTTAAATTAATCATTATTCATTTTAATATTACAATATTTTGTGATTTTTCCTTGAAAAATAAATAAATAGAATCTACAGCTGTTTAAATAAGAGTTATCTTGAAAGTATTTACTTTGCAAAGCTGCGATTAAAGATATATTTAACATGGCATTTGAAAATATAATCGATCAAATGATAGTGGATTACAGGAAATGCTTTTACTATTTCCTTATTTTTATTTTATTAAAATAGGTTTAATTGGCCATATGTATATGATTGTTTATTTATTTTTTTTTTTGGCCGAGTGAAAAATTCTTTAGGCTCATTTTGCACTTTATGTGGAGAGTGAATTAGATTGATCCGTCAGATCCCCGATATGTAACTCTCGGGTAAAGTTTGCTGGATTCGATTAATTGAAGTGTTTTTTCATATGGATTAAAATATCTCAGAAACTAAGAATCGGACCTGCATACTGTAAGAGAGGGAAATGTTCA